TAACAAATGTTACCTTTGCTTATCTATTTTTGAAATGTTTGAAAATGAAACAGTCTGTGGGCAGCTGTGTACAAAAATGAGCTGTACCATGGCTTGTTACAACATATTTCAGGGACCTTAAACCTAAAAAAAACCTGACACAATGTAAATTTGGACAATTTCTAATGATCATGATCTTGGCACAGATGCCTGGGCTGATCACTCATTTCACACACCTTCTTAGCTTTGCCCAGTTCTCATTACCACTCATCTTACCCACCTGCTCAGGCCTCTATGTAACCATACTTCAGACCAGTCATCAATGCCAGATAATTTTGAGCAGTGTGGGGAGACTTACTTAAGCGAACTTGTGTTCTGATTGCCTGATCCTGACCTGTTTTGCCTCTGGACCACTGTGCCTGCCTGTTTTACCGTCTGATCTGTTTGTCTGATCTGTCTAATGACTCCTACCTGATCTCTGCTTGCTTGTGTACCGGAACCTTTTCCCAGCAACTGAGTCTGCCTGCTCTCGTCCAGCATGTCAGCCCCATTTTGTACAGAACCTGAAACTGTTACCTGACTCAGTGTGGATTCTCCTTCAGCACCTCACTGTATCTCTGACCTCCTGGCTCTGACAACCAACCGCGTCTCCGACATTGGCTTTGCTCTCTGGATTGTCCTGCCTACATCCCTCTGCTTGGTTCTGATCTCCTACCTTTTCTCTGACCTCCAATATACCTGCATCTGGGACTGGTTGTGTGGCAGCCAGCTGGCCTGAACAATCCTGTACCTCTGGACTTAGAATAAACTATAAGACCAGAGTTTCCTGACGTCAAAGCCGTCCACTCAATTCTGTTGTTGATAAAACATTCTGATAAATCTAACTGTTTTGTCCGCCCCAAATTACTGGATCCTTCTGTTCTGGTATCTCACAAATCATTATAAAGGCAAAACAAGAAGCTTTTATCAGAATCTAAACCTTAGGTTATCTCTAAACAAATTATTAATTTCTAATCAATTTTAACAGTGAAAATTTTATTTGAAAATTGACACTACCACATGAAAAACCATGTTTTATAAGGAAACTTCTTTACTCCACACACTCTTTGTTCCTTCCAGTTGTACTGGTTAAGCCTAATCAAGCGCTCACTATCTCTAAAGACTATTCCTTTGTCTTCTTTTGGTCCATGGTTTACCTGCTCTTGAAGAGTTTTTTCCTTGTTACAGTTATACACAATGCTGTGTAAGTCTATTACATGAAATATCAATAAAACACTGAAGTGATTCCTGTGGGACAAAAAAAAAAACAAGAGGTTCAAAGAGTATAAAAGCTTTTGCAAAGCACTGTATGTAAATATCAACCATATTTCCACATGGCAACTGTCAGAGGCCTTGTATGTGAAATCTGAGTTTTAAAGTGTACAGAATAACAATTTATTATTGTCAGTCAACCTTGAAGATGAGTTATGAGTGCCAACATTCTCAGTGGAGCCCTACAGAGAGTGAATACCTATCATCATTAAGCTATGTATCACAAATCATTAATCACAAAGGCTATGTTTATCTATCAATATTCTACAACTTTGGTTTAAAAACACCAACAAAGGACCTAATTAGCACTGGCCTTTTTTGTTTTGGTTTCTGACCTTTTATATGGAATACCATACAATAAAAAATAATCAATGTTAACTGTTATAAACATTAAATAGTGTTTTTTTTTTTTTATTCAAAATCTGCTTCCAAAACATTTTAATCCTTTATGATTTATTGATTTTAGACAGAGATGAGAGGGATTATATCCTTTAAAATGACAGATGGTTGTCTATGACCCTAGTGTCTCTGGTTTCTTGTATCCCGCTGGTGGATTACATGAACGCGGTTCTTCATATGAACACCAGCCTGCTTGAATTCATTTATCACTCTTTTCTCTCTCTTGCCTTCCAGCAATCAATCTGAGGAAGCAGGAGTTTTTTGCCTCTCCTGTTCCTGTCTTTTTTACTAAGAGCTTTCAGCATCCAGCATGGCTGTCATGCTGTTCCCTGTGTGACAGAAGAGTGGATAAGAATGAGGAGGGGAGACCAAGCTCCCCTTTTTACCTTTCCTTTAGCTGCCTTCCAGCCAACTCAGGGTCCCTACCTCTGTTGCAACCCCAGTGATTGGATCGGTTTCCCCGTGCAGCAACAGACACCGAGGCATGGAAGGCTACAGGAACAAATGAGGTCAGAAGTATCTTTGAGTAAGCTCCAAGCAACAGGCCTTTGGAAAGATTTTGCCATTGGTGAATGCAAAGAGAGTGATTATTTTTTTCACATTTTCCTGTTTGTAGGTAAGCCGACCACCTAGCAAAGCTGCTAGTGATCACAGTGCCATACAGTCATCTGTGCCCATAACAGGCCGCATTCTGCTTAATGATATTCATCAAGGCCTTGGAGCAAACTTCTTTATTGATTGAGAGCAAACTGGTAAACATGTTGATTGTACTCTCTCAATTAACCGTCTCTCTGTGAAATCATGATCGACCACCTGAGCAAGTACATGAAGTCTGTGGTTACCTTTGGTTTCGGGGGTGCAGACGCAGCAGCTTTTTTCCTCTCCACATGTCTTCCTTCAGTAAAAAAGCATTTGGCTCCAGCTGTTTGAAAACTAAGCGCTCATATAAACACACTGGTCACTTGACTCATGCAGGTTCTGAGTGAAATTGACTTGCAATAGAAGAAAAACAACAAAAAAAAGTGTCTGAAAAGCCCTCATTAGAAAAATAAACAAATCCACCCAAGAAAAGCAATTCTTTATAAATAAATAAGGTTTATGGCATGAAAGCATCGTATAGTTGTCATTTTTTATGCCACAATGTTTGATAAAGACTTTTTCATGAGAACTTAAGATCTTGAATAAAACTGTATAACACTGAGGTGGGGGTGAGGACTCTTATTATTAAATAAGTGTTTTGTTGGCCACATCTTAATTAAATGTGCTTACCGGTAGTTTATTTCCTAACTAGGGCTGAGCAATTAATCGATAAAAATTATTAATTTAATTCTCTGTTTAGAGACTTAAATTTGTGAAAATCTGGATTTTTATTTTGAACTTCTTGTCCTTTCATCTGTTCTTTTCTTTTTGTTCTTAGATGTGTACTCAGAGGTGGATAGTAACTAGTTATATTTACTTTTTGAGAAAAACGTACTTTAAGGAGTAGTTTTTCTGCATCATATGTTTTACTTTTACTTCAGTTAAAATGTGATGAGATATCACTACTCTTGCTTGAGTAAAATGTTTAGCTACTCTACCCATCATGGGTAACTTCACCCAATGAAAAACAGGAAAATGCAACAAAGAGAGAAGCTCCTACAGTTAAAGACTTTGTGCTCTAGCTTCTTCATTTTAATGTTATTTTCTTTTTCTTTTTGCTGATCCTTTCATGCCATTTGGAGGTCAAAATAATGCAAACAGTCAACTGAATCATGTGCCAGAAAGTAACCAAGCAGGGCCCCTTAGACAGCTGCAAAGGGAGAACATGCAAACTCCATGCAGAAAGATGGCAGGTCGGGAATTGAACCTGGGATCAAGCAGCAGCACTATCCACTGCAAGTAACTTGTATATATTGATCTATACTGATCTACTTATATAACACTCTATCACTGATGACATCAGAGTTTTTATAGCAAAATATCTTGTTTTACTTTCACTTGAAATGATCCTTTAATTACTGGACATACTGGATATTAATTTCATTTTATCTTATTTTCAAAATTTGCAGACAACATTGACATGATTTTAAAACATTAAACCTGATGATTTCACGATCAGTTGCTCAGTTCTTGAGTAGCTTTTTTTTTCTTATTAATTTTTTACTCTTAATTTTTGTATGAGTTATTTGTTGGAGTAAAAATATGATGCAGTACACTACTCTCACTTTAATACAACCTTTGGGTACTTGACCCACTTGTCTTTACTTATAATTGATAAACTGACTGCGTGTGTAACATCACTAGTTGCAAACATTTAGTTTGTTATATTTTCATTGTTTATTTTGAAAAAATGCTGAAAGTAAAATTATTTTACCAGCTTGAAATTTGCGTTGCATTTTTAAAACATGTTTACCTCCCAGAGAGGATGATTGAAATAAAAGCTAGTTCTTGAAAGTAATACTTAAGTTGTTATTTGTACTATGAAACTTTCAGGAGAAAAAAAAAGATGTATTAATGGATCTGGTAAGAACAAAAATCAGGGATTAGATTTTTAAACCATATCTCCCAATATTTGATGCTCAGTTGAGCAATGGATAGCAAGAAGGTTCTGGGTTCGATTCCCAGCCCAGGGTCTTTCTGCATGGAGTTTGCATGTTCTCCCTGAGCATGCGTGGGTTCTCTCCGGGTACTCCGGCTTCCTCCCACAGTCCAAAACATGACTGTTAGGGTAATTGGCTTCCCTAAAATCCCCTTAGGTGTGAGTTTGTGCGTGAACGGTTGTTTGTCTCTGTGTTGTCCTGCAATGGACTGGCGACCTGTCCAGGATGTACCCCGCCTCTCGCCCGTACACAGCTGGACATAGGCACCAGCACCCCTCATGACCCCACTTGGGACAAGCGTATTCAAAAATGGATGGATAGATGGATGGATCTCCCAATCCTAATTTCAATATGGGATATTACCTTTTTCACTCCCAGCTCTCACCTTTAACTGTCTGAAGTGCTCCTTAAATATCATGTTTTTTCACTAATGTATTATTCACAGAACAGCTGTCATTCATAATAAATGGACACTGGATTTTAATTATTTTGTCAGAGCAGGAGGGGCTGAGCACAAAGTGTGGGCACGCCACACTTTTCAGATTTTTAATTCAGAATAAAAAAAATAAATAAATAAATTACTATTATTATTAAAAATAAATCCAATAAATCACACGTTTTGATTCCCCTTGACAAAAACGTGCAGTCGGTCTATCAGTCGTAATGTTTGTTTTGGTGCATGACAGGAAACGGTGATGACGTTTCACGGCAGCTTCAGTGCATTCTGGGTCTAACCCAACATGGCTGCGCCCTTGCTGAAGCGCTGAAGAAGTGCCTCTCCGGAGATATTCCCGCGTCTGTGTTTAGTTTCCCAGAAACACTTCGGACAAAATCAGCTCGTGGGCTCGCTGGTGCGCAGGACCCCCCTCGTCCATAAGTGTGGCCGTCTCCTCGCGCGGCTGTGGCAGACTGTCCGTGTGAAGATGGGCCTCGTCTCCAGCCCTGTCCCATAGCAAAGAGCCCCGGGGAGAGGAGCCGCAGGTTCCCCTGCAAACACGCACCGGTCCAGCTCGCCTTTGACGGTTTCGACCTCCTCTACCGGCTTTGGACGCTGCCCTACAGTTTCCTGACCAGGATAATCTGCACCACGGTGTCTGTCATTGTCCGGAGACGGAGAGCTTCTTCCCCATCCCGGGTTGGTCATCCCACCGCACCAAGGTCTGCATCCGCACGCTTCGCTAGCACCACTTAGCACCATTTCTGAACATCTGCTCCTTTATCTCTCTGCTCGTTTGCTGTGTAAACTACAGGGAGGAGTTTTGATAGAAATAGCCTCGGTCAGTCACAGTGGAGCGGAGCAGCTAGTGGAGCTAACTGGATGCAGCCTGCAGCTTTTGTTTGGACAACTTTTACGAGGAGATAGCGCGGAGCACCATGATCACCATGATCACTGGTGCAAGTGAACACACAGCAACCCCCTCCCTTGCAATAAGAACTCGTTTAAACAATTGCAGGAAGCCATTACAAACAAATGACTTTAATTATGAAGTTTAAAAATGTCTAATGATCTAATGTGACCCCGAGTCTTTTTCAGATAAATCATAACCTTTTGGCAGAGAATAGCTGATAGATCAGCTGCCTGATATTTGCTTTGTTTTTCTTGCATTGTGCAGCAGGTCTCTGATCATTGGTGCATTCAGCAGCCATTCATTAGCCCATGCGTTGCCCTCCACACATTAAATATCCTTTTTATATATTTTTTCCAGTTATTTTTTGTATGTTTTCTTTTAGTATAAACTGAGACTTTTTGTATCATGTGTTATCATTGTTGCACTTTATCCCAGGGAAACCCCCCCCCCAACAACATAGGCTGCAGAAATTAGCACTTAAACTCAGCTGAACGTATCGTGGATCAGTTAGACCGATGTCTATACTTCTGATGCATAGCCTCTGCAACCGTACAATCCTTACTATAAGTGGGATGTTCCTAAACCTGCTCAGACCTCAAGCAGAAGTGCACAGACAAAAAGCAGCTGTGAATGGTTCTTGCTATGCCTTTCCGGCTGTCTGTGTGGTTGTCCTTCTTAATTCGGCGCCGGGTCACGGCATTTTTAAAAATCAAGGAATAACAACAATGGATACTCTAGCCATCTCTTTGACCGTGATATCTTCCAGATGCGCCATTGTTGTTTTGGGAAATAAACACTTCCACTGACGCCAAAGAAGTTCTGTCTGCTGAAGTTCTCGCGAGTTCTTGAACACACATCAAATGTTACTTGGGTCTGGTCGCGAACCAGTTTTGCTGGTATGCTTCTGCAACGTCAGTCTGGAATTTCGAGGGACGCATAGCAGTTTCCGCCAAAGTGGAAAGGGGAGCCTATTCGAGAACTCGAGAGAACTTTAGCGGATATTCACAAGAACTTCAGTGGCGTGGGCGGGAGTGTTTATCTTCCAAAACAACAATGGCGTGTCTTCAAGATATGACGGTCACGGAGATGTATCTGGAGTTGCTAGACATCGAAGAGGACCAGGTTCTGTTAATGGAGTCGGCAAAAAGAGTTGTTCCTTTTAAAAATGGCGCGCACCGAATCGAGAAGGACGACCACACAGACAGCCGGAAAGGCTACCAAGGACCAATCACAGCTGCTGTTTGTCCGCGCACTTCACCTTGAGGTCTGCGCAGGTTTGTAACTGTCCTACGCGTAATCAGGATTTTTTTGAGATGCGCGACAACGGTTTTAGAGCCTCTGCACGGGGGCCGTGGTCAAGCATAGAGACAGCTTGGACAGTTGCAGAGGCTATGCGTCAGAAGCATAAATTGGCCTTTAGACTTCTGCAACCGCACACATCAAATGTCTCTTACATCCGGTCGCGAAAACCTAAAAACCTTTCATAGCATTTGATTCCTATGGAATAAATAAGCCTCAGTGACATTAGGAAAACATTGCCAGATACATCAAGAGTTATGAAGTAAAAGCACCACATGAAATATTGCACCCATATATGTTCTTTGCCATTGTGATATTGTACCCATAGATAATGCGTTGAAAACGTACTTTTCTAAAAATTAAGAAATATCTCTAAGCACGGTTATTAATTGTAGAGATCAACAAATCATATAAGGACTCACATTATTGTTCTTGTTTAATTTAAGTCAGATTTCAAAAACTGTACTTGTTTTTCCTCCTCTGATTTGGCTTGTGATCTCTGTTGGGTTAATTGACTGAAATCTTTAGGATTGAGACCCATCACCCATCTAATAACAACTCCCTCACATCTCTGCTTCTGCATGTGATGTATTGGAGTCACTTGACCACATTGTTACTACACCGACTAAAAATAGATGGAAAATTACTCAGAATAATTGATGATGGAACATCCTGTGTGAACAAAAGTACTTTTTTGCGACCAAGAAAGTTAGGATTGAATATTTTTTCTCCACAATGATGATCTAGCAGCTAAATTGGTCTTCACAGTGAGATTTATGTTAGTCGTCTACTACCTTTTTTCTCACAGTTTGTCATACACAGTGTCACACCTATACTATGAGGGGATAATGCACCAATGGTCTACCTATGAAGGTGGTCTGGGCTGAACATAGGGCTGGGCGATATGCCTAGAAATAAAATCTCTGATTATTTTATTTATTTATTTTTTTTTGTATTTCAATTTATAATTTTTTTCAGACCTCCTCAACCTTAATAAGGAAAGCAACAGCAAGGTGACTTCATTGAAGTACTTGTTACTGGGTAGCTCTTATCTGGTTTCTACTGTTTTAATCATATTAATAAACCTCATCTTCTCTATGGTACATATGGGCACCATGTCTTTAACTATGTGCAAAGCAACTATTTCAGCGATTGTTCTTCACCGTGCCCCTTTCCTGTGATATGCGATAACTTGTGCAATAGATTCAGCTACAGTGTGCTGTTTTTTAGCTGTAGTTTGTTGGTCAGTTTGGTTTTGTTCACCTTGGAGAAATTAGCCTTTTTTCAGATTCGACTGGATGCCTCTGTTTGAGGTGTTGGAAAAGGTTTGTGCCGGCTGTCTTTCACTGCAATGGTATTTAGGCAAATGTTGCAGCATAGGGTCTCAGACAACCCATTCCAGTTCCAAACAACAGATGACACATTCCTGCACCAAAAAAACGGCCAATTAACGTATTAAATACATTTTTGCCCTGGCTTAGCTGAACAAGATGGCAATCAGGCAATTCAAGCGAACCAGCGCAGGTCGAATGGAAACTGCCAAGTTGCACGGTTAATTAGGGGTCCAATAATTGCAGATGTTTAAAAATACTGACCTTATTTTGGCCAATAGTGTATATTTTTTATATTGTTGTTTTTGTAATTGACACTGTCGAGTCAGAATAACCTTTTAATGTTAGAATCTTAAGTTTATTGAAAACCCTTAAAGGACAGCTCAATCCAAAATCTTTTTTTTTAAATCTTTTTTGGCTAATAAACTGTGTACATCAGTGCTGCATTGTGCTGTCTGTCCCATCTATTAATTGGACTATTTTCTTCACATTTGTAGCAATCATTGGTTTAGGAGTATTTACTAGTTATTTTTAGTGTTGACTTCCTCAATATTGTGACCTCATCCAGAGAAACTGACATCAGAGGCTCTGCCCTGAAAAGCTCTCTGTTGACTCTCTTCTCCTACTTACAGTCTTTCGCTTTTGGAACGTCAATCAATTTTTTAATCAAACAATGTTGAAATTTTAATTTTTTATGACCCAGTGACATAAAGGTATTGTCAAATCGTAATAAAACACTAAAAAGATGACGCACACTTTTTTAAATCCAATGTTAATGCTTTTCCTGTTTTTAGCAACTCTTTATAACGTAGGAAAAAGAGAATATTAGGCTGTGAGCCGGAATGAAGTTCTGACATTGTGATAACCCTTAGCAACATTTTCATGGTATTTAATGCCTCAATTAAGCAAGAAAGGGGAAATAAGAGATGGTGCTAAATTATGGGCTGATCTTCAGTATAATCTCTGTAGCCATAGTCAACTTTAATCGTCAGTTTAAGACGTTTTTAGATCTGAAATTCCACTCCCTTAAAGGATCTCACTCCACTTTTCATAGTCTTTTGCACTACGGTAATTATGTTATTAGGCTCTAGTGACCCTTTGTTAGAGTTAGTATTTTTGTTTATCAAGAGTGTTTGGTACAGATATTTAGGTATGATTCCTATGTGAGCCTTATATCGAAGGAGGGGGCCATTAGAGCAGAGTTCCTTTGTCGGCTCAAACATGGAAATGAAGCTACTGAAGCCTCTTATCCGAAATTCCAACCTAAACTAATTTCTCCAGGGTTTGGGAATCTCTAGAACCAGCTACTTAAATCAGTATAATTTTTGGACCTCTGGCCTCCTTTGCAGAATGTTCCCCCATTTGCTCTGTTTATAGTGAATACAGTTGGGAGAAATCCTCTCCCTCCATGATTGCGCCACTGTCAGGCCATCAGTCAGTCACATCCGAGGCCTCTTCCAGCCCTGATACCCCCCCTTGCATGTCACCTGGTTCACCGAGCACTGCCTCCATAACGAGCACTTTTCACATATTATAAATGAGTGTAAAGAAGGCCCTGGTCCTGCATGACTTGTTCTTTAAACGATCCTAGTGAAACAATAAAAACATTATTTAGGCCTCTTACATATAAATGATGGGGCTTAGAGCATCGACAATGGATGGATGGCAGGGGTAGATAAGATTGTAAATAAGATGGTGGATAAGATTGTTTCCCCATGTTAGTATCTGCTGATTGCCCATCACCCAAAAATATGGCAATTGGTGCAGATTGATCAGAGGACCAATGGAAGGAAGCAAATTGTATTTAACAGCCGAGCCTGTAAAAGAACAACACTGCATAAAGATCTCTATTAAAACTCAAATTAAACCCTAAATAAGTTTTCATGGTTTAGTTCAAAAAACACAATCTTTAATTATCTGACCAGAATTTGAACATTTCAGAACAGTTGAATATCTTGCAGAAAGTATACAGTATGATAGGTGGGCTGATTGGTTGCGAAATATCTGCACTGCAGTGGGTTTGGTGTCAGTTTTCTTTTGTTTTTTTTTTAGCGTGTGTTTTGATGGCAGACTAAAAAGCATGACTTATAAACATCATAGAAAAATAGGATTGTAGACGTTGTAAAAAGCCGTTGGAAATGAGTGACCTCAGTATTCTCAGGACTTTTACTGGTGTACAAACGGGGTGGTGTGTCCAGACGGGCTGCAGTCATTTCTAGAGCTAAGTGGAAAAATGTGATGCTGTGAGTCAAGAGTTAAAGCTAAACTGGATGGTCTATTTCTATCAGACCTATGTGATAGAATAAAACAAAGATTTGAATTAACTGATCTGAATACGGTATAGCTTAATGAAATTAATGCTTCCTTAAAGCAGAATATTTCTGTTTATTAAAGAAAGAAATGTTCTAATACAAAGTGATTGCTTTGGGAAATTCCTTGTGGTTGGTTTTATTTTACATTTATAATGTAGAGAAGACCGATACATTGGCCGGATGCGTTTGTTTTCTTCTATCGAATGTTCAGCAGTCATACATTGCTGCTACTTCCATTTTCTGTCCATTCTTGATATTTCTTTTGACTTGTGTTTTTTGGTCAAACTAAGGCTTGTGCAACATTTATTATTATGTCATCTTTTTCCTGTAAATGGAGGAAGGAAAAGCAATATCGTCTCCAACAGTCGGCCCACAAATATCAGCAGCACACTTAGTGGATCAAGGCGGTATCAAAATAATCAGTATCAGCATCACCCTTTAAAAATCATGTTTACTTTTCTTTTTTTTTCCCCAAAAAGTTTACCAGATTTATTTATTCTTTTTTTTTTTTTTCCGTTTGGTTTTTGCCAGCATATAACAAAGAAAGGTCTAATCTTTTTACTGTTTGTTTGTTTTGTTTTCAACTTATACTGAGTCCTTTATTTTCTTTTTAAATTAGAAGTGAGGTCAAAAATTGTTCAGAAAGAAAGTCAGACAGTGTTTCAAGAAGGAACAGGTAAAGAAGATATAACCAGTAAACTGATCTATTCCCTAAAGTCCTGTTTTTCCTGTAGGGATTTTTGAGCTTTTTTGGCAGATACCCGATCCTGCTGTGATGACTTCCAGTTTTAACTGATTTATTATTTATGATCAACCATCCCATTTAATGCCATATATGCTCATATGCTTTGTGGTGGAATCATGACAGGAAACTTGTCCAAGTGATAATGACCAATGAGCAGTAAAGGCAAACAGATTTATGGTTAACAACAGAGAAAATGTCTTAATTTGAAATTGCACAGATATTAAGGGGGATACCAAGATTTGTTATTAAGTGAAGCTTAAAAAAGGACAAAACGGAAGATATGATCGGGCCTTTTCAGAGCTGGGGCAAGCATACATCCGGTTTATTCTGGTCATGAGGAGTTTTAATGGAGGTATATGGATCAGTCACTGATAATTGATTAAAGATGCTTTGAGATGTTTTCCAATAGATTCTGATGCATATTTGTACAATAATTCTCTGCAGACCACAGAAGCTCATCACATCTGTTGCATTTAACCCCTTTTAGGGCCCTGATGAAAATGGACTCGGAGCTGCTTCATTCCCCAGCCGTGGGGCTGACTGAGGAAGAGGAGGCAGACATGAATGACTGGAAGCTTCCCTTGACCTTCATGAAGAAAAGGCACTTGGAGAAGATCGAGGGCTCCAAGGCGTTAGCGCAGAGCTGGAGGATGAAAGACAGGGTAAAGTGCTTGCTTGTTTACGTCTGGGTTACCACAGCAGGGCCAGAGCTTTATAGTCTACAGGGGAAAGCCTCCATGTTCAGAAAACAAGTTAGAAGATGAAGAGTTCACCACTCAATAAAGATTACCCTCACCCAAATGAAAAGAAACATTGAGTTGCTGCTATAATAGCAGTTTTGGAATGCAGATCTATACTCTGATTTAGTCAACCTAAAAAAAAACATAAAATAAACTAATGATTAATGAGGACCAATGAGACTCAATGTTTTAATGTATCCTGCAAGAGACTAAAAAATTTTAGCTCTAAATTTTGTCTTTTTTTCCTTATTGCAAAAAGAAAAGATCACTGGATGTGATTCAGAATGGAAAATAGACTTTTTTTTAATCCATAGCTGAACATATTTCCAGAGTCCCATCATCATTAGGTGTAACAACACCAGTAGCAGACTGGGTAGAGTGGGTGCACCCTGTACTCAGGCTGTCAGCCCTCAACCCAGCTATCAACGATTCAGCTCCAAGTTCAGGCCAGTTAATCCAAGTTCTTCCTCCTCTCTATGCCTGCTTTCCTTGCTAATATCTGTCGAAAAACCAACTAGTGGCACCAAAAATGACCCTGACTGCATCCCTCAACCTGCAGTGATTGTGATTGTGGAACCAATCTTTCCACAGCTTCTTTATACAACATTACATCTTTACATTATTATTTTCTGTGGACACTGACAGTAGTAAAATCCTTAACCCCAATAAAGGTGCATATAATGGATACAGAGGTTGGTAACTACTTTCCTTCTAATTTATGATTTGTAAGAATTTTGGCCTTTTTCCCCCATTTTTGTTCCCTTTTTTTACCAGATACTTATTCAGATAAAGACGCTTTTCTCATAACCTGGTATTTTACTTCTAGAACCTCTCAGAAAATGTATTTTGATTTGTCATTTTAGTTTTAGGACAAAAAAATTCGATAGAACTCCTTTTGACCACTTTTAATGCATATTTTTTCACGCAAAGTTTACGCACGTATGGAGGACCAGCTCTACCATATTTCAAAATAAATACAGAAATAAATAAATGCTCAATAAATAAATAAGCATACAATTAATTCCCCACAAAAATACAATAAATAAATAAATAAATATAGGTTGAAATTAAGTTATACAGTGAGAGATAAATGTATATATATCTCTTAATTAGCTTCTTTATTTATTTACCTTTGTAATAATTACCTTATTTATTTATGTGCATGTTATAATGTTTTTGTCTGTTTTATTCTTCCTTTGTAATTTTTTACCCTATTTATTTCTTCAATGTTTTTTATGTATCTGTATGCATTTCTGCCTCTTTCTGTAAATGAGGAAGGGTCGACTTCTGCACATTGGTTGGATAGCACTTATGCCAGCCGCCACAGTCACAACAAAAATGGCTACCTACGTTGAAGTTGTCAGTGAGCTGAGGCATTTAGCAACTGTTTTTGATAAATGCTAACGTTATAAGTATAGACTTTATTATTTTTCGTTTGGACGCTCTGACAGAATGTGTGTTTCAGTTAGCGGCACACATGGACACAGATGTCGACAATGTAGTTTTTCAGAATCTGGAGGAAGCAGCTCATCTTCTTAACTCACAGAGCTCAGGGTATTAAGTTAAAAGTTCTCTTTTCTGTTGCAGTTGTTCAAGAAAATTAGGTTTTGAGATAATTTAAGGAAGAACATTATACTTTTAAGTATCATTATATGGTCCAATTACTGATTTAATGCGTCATTTAAAAAAAAGTTTCCGAAGTTGAGAGGCCGCGGCAACCAGCGGAGCTCCGAGGGTAACGGCAGCCAGGTCTAATCCTAGCCCGTCTGTAGCAGCCCTGTCTCGGCATAGCCGCGTGTGAAGGACAGTGGCTATGGTGTTGATATTTATTTTTTTATTTGGCAAAATGTTCAGTTGATTTGTGTTTATCTGACTGTGTTAATTTTTATTCCCCCACCAAATGAAAAAAGTCGGAATTTATTATAATCTAGAGACTATTAACAGGAGGTGACCAGCCGAGCATTTAGTGACCTCATCAGTACGCTTCTGTTCCAATTGAACCAGCTGCGTGCTGCCGTTCTCCCTGAGTCCCGACTTTCCCGGGTTCTTCTCAAGAACATATTTGGCAAGGACACGAGTCCGCACTCGCGTTCTTATGAATTGAGAAACGGCCAGTGACTTCAGACTCTCCTCTCCTGTAAACCGATGCAGTAAAATGCTAACCAACCACTGGGTAGAAGTTGACCATCTAAGACTCATTTGCATAATGAGGCAGGAATTTATACAGAAATCTAAAAACGCCAGGCAGAAATAAATAGCGTTTAAGAAATAAATAGGGTAAAAAAAATGCAAAGGAAGAATATAACAGGCAAAAATATTATAACATGCACATAAATAAATAATTTTAAAAAAGGTAATTAATAAATAAAGTTAAAAATAATAACGGACAAGAAATAAATAAGGTAATTATTACAAAGGCGAATAAATAAAGAAGCTAATTATGAGATGTATTTATATGTTTATGTCTCATTGTATAATTTAATTTCTACCTAGATTTTTTTGTTTATTGTACTTTTGGGGGCAATTAATTGTATGCTTTTTTATGTATTTCTGTATTTATTTTTAAAAATATGGTAGTGATGGTCCTCCATATACACGGCAATTTCACTTGTGTGATAAATTTGTGGAGCATTTGCAAAAAAAGACTTGGTAAACACTGTTATGTCAATAATTAGGATGTTAATACCACAATCTGAAAGCTGATGTTAAATCAAAAGGTGTTTTGATCAAATTGTTGAGGTTTGTGCACCGTAACTGTTACGGTGTCGTTAGCTTAGCTTTTTTCTTTCTCTAACATTGGGTTAAAAGTTTGAAAAGTAGTTTTTCCTGTTTGCACATTTCCACAGAAACTTGACGTGCCATCACGACGGAGGAGGATTTTTAAAGGCCTTTAAATATATCAAAACCTTGAAAGGTTAAAATCTTTTTGGCTAAAACAAAGTAAAATTGGAATATAGAATTTGTGCATGAATCAATGCACCACCAGGACGCTTTTATTTCTATCAGACCTAAAACTGGAGGAACAGTCTCTGTTCAGCAGTAGCAAAGTCCACCTATCAGCACCTCACTAACTACCATGTTCTCTGTTATCATGCCGTTTCAGTCTCAGAGGCTCTTACCTTTTGAACTGAGATCAGCAGATACCAGCCTTAGCTCTAAGATTTAGCCCATGCATGCATGGAGGTGTTATCTCTGAGTGCATTCCTGAAGCTGGGGCTCTGTGTACTGAAAACATCCAAACACAATGTTCTACCGATCAAATGAAGTTTCCGTCAGCTAGTCACATTGTACTTTTGAAGGGTTATTGTTTCTGCCCCAGGATACTGTAGCAGATCACTGTCGTTCTGCTTTGCTACTCAAGTGCTAATTCATTTCTTTCTGCTGTAGGCTACTAGTTCAATGTTTTAAAGTCCTTTAAGCTATCCTGCTTTATGAACGGCTGTTTGATCTGCTGCTTGGCTTCTAGCTCGATTATTTAATCTCCTCTCTGCTACAAGGTGCTAGCGTTATAATGATGGCAAGTGTCACTTACTCATACATAACCCTTGCTAACTCTTCACCCATTGTAGAAATTCACCCAGCATTACAAATGAAACACACGGCTGCTGTTAGGACACTGGTTGAATTAGACTGCTCAGTGGCCGCTGCAGAGTCGAGCTGCGGGGAAATGAAGACATCATTAAATGCGAGGCTGCTATTGATTCAAAAGGGGTAATAAAGGCAGAGTGAAATTGACATTCCTATCAGAAAGTTGAGCTTAATCTACTCTATTTTTTTTATTATTGCCGAAGGCATTTTCAGGCCCCAGCCCTGCATTTATTAACATGTGAGAAATCTGCACATTTCGGGAAAATGTAAAACTGCGAGCGTAAGAGGTTTTAGGCTAAAAAATGTGGCTTTTATTTAAAAACAAAATGCTCTTAAACTGTTTTGCAAGATGATATAATAAAAAAAAGAAAAACATCTGGGATGTCTCTGAGATTGCACATGATCACCACTGGTTTACAGAAACCTCCCACTGAAGGTTTCTTGCCTTCTAGAGTTTGGACTCAGTTATCAGGAGAATATGCAATGCCTGCTTATGCTTTGGCTGATTTGAACCGATGCTTATTATCCGCAGAGGCTACCGTGTCAAGCCAAGTGATAAACTAGAAGTTAAGCCTGGTGAGAGCAGCGTGCAGCAGGAGGCTTATGAGTGGACTTTAAGTGATGTTCTTCACTGTGGGAAATCAAAGGTCTCTCAGACACACACAGAGGACGACTCCAGAGGCTTCACTATTACTTGCCTCATTGGCCATTGTTGTTTCTTTCCCTCCTGGGGGCTTGGGAAGAAGCTAAAAGAATGAAACAAAAACCCACTGCTTGGTCTGTGCATTTGCTTTTTCCTTTGTTGTGGGTTGCTTGCATTTAAAGTGTTTCTGCGTACTTTTGGGTTTTTAAGTATAATAGCCAAACATTAAGTGTTAGCAAACTTCAGCTTAAAGCTGAGCTCCAAATATCAAACATATCTGGACAAAGTTTTCTTGCACTTTTAAAGGTACAAACATCGTTTTTTTCAAGTTTTTACTCACAAAAAACCCCCCGGAGAAGTTTCATCATGTTAACTGGTAAAGATTTCTCTCTGTCCCTTTGTCACAGTAAACATGGCTGTTTTTAAACACGCTTTTATTTCCGGCACAATGACCAATTGCAGCAGAAGATTGTGCTTTATGCGGACCAGTTTGCTGGTATGCTTCTGCAGTGTCGGTCTGGAATTTCTAGGGACGCACAGCAGTTTCCAGACAAAGCGCTATTTAAGAAATCACGAGAACTTCTTCTGGTCATGCACAGAGACAGATTTGACGACTGCAGAGGCTATGCGTCAGAAGTATCAATTGGATTTAACTGAGGGCACTTTCTCGAGAACTGTTAATTGCATAATT